CTCTTTGCCAGTCAACCCAACAGGCAAGGCCAGGTCAAGAAACAAACACCATGAGGATCTTCCTGTACACAGTTGCTAGATAACTCCTTTTCACACATGCAGAGCCTCCATACACCTCCATGTTTTATATGTGGCCAAAGATCTCCATTATTATGGAAGCAGAAGCTGAGAGAATTCCATGTTGTGTTCAGTCAAAGGGAGAGGAATCCTGGGTCAAAAGAACCTGGAATTTCTCCCTTCCAAAATGGAGTTGGGTGATTTGTTTTCTCTGGCTCTTTCTGTGCACTCTTTTCTGCAGGAACTGTTCATGCTTCGGATGGTTGATCTTTTCTGCCTTGGGATGTGCAAATGGGTGGTGGGGGAGAGTACACTTCTTTCGAATTAAATTAAATCAAATCAAATCAAGTCACTCTATTACAGCCATAAGGCCGGACAATACAATAGAATACAATTATATAAAATACAATACAATTATATAAAATACAAAATACAATACAATACAATACAATTATATACAATACAACAATACAATTATATAAAACCTAAACAGTAAGGGTATGTGTGTTTAATGGACAAATACATACATATATATTGACAAGTATGTATAGATATTAGATATGTAACAAGAAATAAGAATGAAATACAGAATAGAAAAGTGCAATAATGATAGAATGGAATAACATAAAATACCAGTAAGTAAGGAAGTCAGAATCTTCAACTACAGGTAAAACAGGAAGCTAATACAAAACACACAAATCTGGGCAACATGGGAAGATATATTTTGGTTCTTATCAGATAAGAGGAGTGACAAATAAAAGTTGTGCTCTCTGCCTGGAAATGTCCTCAGGTTGGGGTGGGTGAGAGTCTTCCTAGAGTCCCTGTGAGGGGAACAGCAGGGAAGCCTGTGGCTCAAAGACTCTACTGGGCCTTCCCCACACGGGCATAGGGGCTGGGGCACCGGAGTATTCTTCTGGCGTCCAACGGGGACTGATGAGGGCCGTGCATCTGGCGTGGCCAAGGTGAAAGCCCCACGGTGCCCTGGCTGTGGCTCTTCCCCCTGTCTCCCAAGGTCCTTCCTGCATACAATTGCAGGCTCCCCCCAAAGCTGCCAAAAGTGGGGTAGCTGCAGCAACTTTTGTAGTGGGCTCCATACCAGGAGACATGGCCTGACATGCTCCAGCTAACTCCCCTTCTGCCACATGGAGGCAAGGAGAGATAGGATTAAGAGGACCTCCTGCCAGCTCTTCATCTGCCATAGGAGGGCAAAGGTTAGGGATGTTGGGAGACTATTCAGTGGCTCAGCTGTGGCCATAGTAGCCAGTAAAGGTCTCTTGACATCATCTATCTTTGGTAGAAGAGAGGAGAGGAGGAAATATGCTGCTTGAAGAGTGATAGAATCCAGGTGGGATGGATCTTACTAGAGAAATTATTTTTGCATCACAAAAAACTCTACTAGGAGAGAATTGAAATGTGGCTAAACATGGTTTCATTTTAAGTAGCACTGGAGGAATAATAGACTGCGGAAAGGTCAGCAACATTTGTTTGCTATCTGGTGAAGTTGGGAGCCATTCGACTGCCAAAAATCCGTCTGTTGATACTGGCAATGGAGGAGTTGTCCCAGAGAAACTCCGCTTGCTCTTTTAGAGATCCAGTGAGCAGAATTGAGTCTGTTCAGAGAAATATGGAGAGCAATCTGTTTTGTTTGAAATGAGCAATTTTGCGTGCTGGAGGTAGCTGCTTCCTTGACGTTAGAGGAACTTTGGATCGTATATGACCACTGCTATTCACCTAGCTGGAGAAGCACAGTTGGAGGTTAGCGGGGAATTAAACTGCCCAGTTGATCCTTCTTGAAGAGAAACTGAAAGATCTAACAACTGTTGTTTTTCCCTTTCTATTTGAAGGTCCCATTCAAATGCTTCAAATTTCTTAGTCTGGTCTACCTTATAGGGCTGCAAGGCTGTGATGCAAACACAACATACTTACTATTATTCTAACCCTGTGAGGTAGTCGAGATAAGAAGCAGAACCAGGAGGACCAGCTCTCTCTTTGTTGTAATGTTACATTAACAGAATCCTGCAAGCCTGAAGTATTTCTCCCCTCCTCTCCTTTTACTCTCAGGAAAACTAAGGAGGGTCCTAGGGCACATCTGTACTGGGCTCTCTGAGTTTTGTCACTCACTGCTTAGAAAACTCCTCTGGGAGGCTTGGAAGAAGACCTATTGCAGTCCCTTGGGTGTTTGCTTAACCTCTATCTAGGACAGCTTTAAACAGGTCATTTAATAGCATTGTGTAAAGAAATAGATTAAGAAAGCCCAGCATTTATATTGCCTGAAGAAAGGATTCCCTGCAATTGTAACACTTACGTAGCTCAGCCAAGGCTGGATGAAAATCGCAGCCTTTTCCACAGCTCTATTCCTGGCCTGATTCCAACACAGAACACAGAGTTCTCTGGGCATAAATGCCTGGCTCCAAACCAGCCTGAAAGTAACGCCCAGAGATCGAAACCAATAATGTGAAACTTTGGACTCTGATTCTTGCAGATATCAACCCTTATCACATGAGTATAATTTAAGGTAAACTTACAGCAGGGAAAAGCTTGCAAATGTTGCTTACCAAGGGATGAGGAAACGTCTATGTGTGACCCGGTTGTGCACCTTATGGGGCTTTTTTGGGGGTGGTGTTGGTAGGGGAGACGTGATCAGGGCCAGGATGTCCTATTTTTTTGGTTGTTTGGGTTTTTCCTTTGAATCGTTGTCCTGTTGTTTAGTCGTTAAGTCGTGTCTGACTCTTCGTGACCCCATGAACCATATTGCGCCAGGCCTTCCTGTCCTTCACT